GAGATAGTGGAAAGAATGCAACTCTCTGATTCAAAACACTTGGGTCTTAATCACCACAGCTGTGTGATCTTGGACAAGTCACCTAACCTCCTTGAGACTCAGTTTTGTTATCTTTAAAATGGATTCCATTCTGTGACTCTTTGATGAATAAACAAATAATTATGATTCAAAGGAGGATGTGAGGGGGGTCGAGGAGAATTCTAGGCAAAGTTCTATGACAAATCTGAGGAAAGGGGGAGTTAGGGTAGGAGAAGCAGGTGGGCTTCCTGGAAGAGGTGCTTCTTAGCTGGACCTTGAAGGAAGAGAAGGATTTTAATTAATAGGGATAGACAAGGGAAATAATAATAATAGCAGCTAACATTTATATAGTGCTTGCTATGTGCCAGTCACTGTGTTAAGTGCTTTACAATTATCTTGTTTAATCCTCACAACAACCCTGGGAGGTAGATGCTATTATTATCCCCATTTTTCAGATAAGGAAACTGGGGCAAACAGAGGTTAAGTGACTTGCTTAGGGTCCATATTTGAAGTCAGGTCTTCCTGACTCCAGGGCCAGAACTCCATCCACTGAGTCACCTAGCTGCACTTAAACCTGCTCCCTGGAACATGGTCTGGGCAGGCATGAAGGATGGCCCTGGCGGCAGGGCAGGATCAGGAGACAGCTAGCGCTTCAATCTAGCTGGAACACAGAAGGCACAAAGGGGAATGGTGGGCAATGAGGTCAGGAAGGAGGCAACTGAGGGTTCCATGGCAGGATGACAATTTTGAGAGATGGGGAAGTCAGGAGGAACAAGAAGGGTTTGGGGAGAAGGGAAGATGCTTGGTTTGGAGTTTGAGGTGCAGCAGACCGTCAGGGTGGAGGCATCCCTCAGGAGGCTGGGTGTGTGTGTAATGGGGCATGCTCTCCTGTGTCCACTTGGGCCCACCTCCTAAATGCAAGATGCCCCTATGTGGAAAACAAAATCCCTTAACTCCCCTCACTCAGCTGAGAGGGATCTAGAAACTGAGGAGCCAGATATGGGAATCCTTCCCTCCCCAAAGCTATTGTGTTTCCATTTTTCACCTTTGTATCCTCATTTCCTAGCAGAGTCAATCTATCAATAAACATTAAGTGCCTACTATGTGCCAGGCATTGTGCTAAGCCATGGGAATCCAAAAAGAGACAATAGACAATCCCAGCCCTCAAGGAGCTTACAATCTAATGTGCCTGGCCATAGTGACTTTTTTCTTTTTCTTTTTGGTGAGGCAACTGGGGTTAAGTGACTTGCCCAGAGTTACACAGCTAGTGAGTGTTATGTGTCTGAAGCCACATTTGAACTCAGGTCCTCTTAACTCCAGGGTGGGTACTCTATCCACTGTGCCACCTAGCTGCCCCATAGTGACTTCTTGATCTACAAGCACTAAGTGCCTACTATGTGCCAGGCATTGTGTTAGGTGTTAGAGATACCAGTTCAGAGAATAAAACAACCACTATTCTCAAAGAGCTTCACATTCCAGGGCTTACTGAAGAGAAACGAGGATGGACCTTTAGGGACCACCTTAGGAATGGGAGGTGAAACCCTAAGAGGAAGGAGAACCCACAGAGCAGATCCCAGAAGGTAGGGAAGAGTTTCAAGGAGAACTAGGACCAGCTGGGGGGGAAGGCAGATAATCTGCAAAAGCAGCTTGAGGACAACAAGGCCAGGCCCCCTTTCACTGACATCAAAGGGGGGCATGCTTTCTCTTCAGGGAGAAGTGCTGCCCCCACCTCATGCCTCCCAGACAGTACAAAACCCAGGATGCTTCCAAGCCCTCCACCACCCTTCCTTTTTTTTTTTTTTAAGGCAATTGGGGTTAAGTGACTTGCCCAGGGTCACACAGCTAATAAGTGTCAAGTGTTTGGTCTGAGGCTGGATTTGAACTCAGGTCCTCCTGACTTCAGGGCCAATGCTCTATCCACTGCGCCACCTAGCTGCCCCTCCACCACCCTTCCTTCAGGGACCCCTCCCCTTCATCCTGCACCACCCCAGGGTCCCATTCCCATAGTCTAATTTCCTGAAATATTCCCCCGGCCTGGGGTAGGGGATGGGCCAGCTTCTTTTTGGGTGTAAGTCTGCCATGATTAGACTGTTCAATGTGCCACCCACTCCCTCCTTCTCACCCCTCTACTCCCACAAGTAAAAGAATTCCAGGTTAGAAAGCTAAAGATAGGAGAAAGAGATGCCCACCCACATGTTAGGTGCTAGGAGAAATGTTGAGGGGCAGGAGACAGTACCTGAAGCTCACGTTCCTGTAGCATTTTGAGGTTTGCAGAATCCTTCACATACATTTCTTTTACTTGATCCCTCATAACAATCCTCAGGAAATTCACACAAGAATTATTGTTTTCATCTCTTAGAGGAAGAAACTGAGGTTCAGAGGCAGCGGTGACTGCCCAAGGTCACACGGCTACTGAGTGACAGGGCTGAGAACTCACACCCAGGTCTTCTGCCTCCAAGTGCAAGCCCATTTCTGCCACCTGACAGGAGCTCATCGGATCAGAGATTTAGAGCTGGTAAGAACCTTAGAGATCATCTAGTCTAGGGGTGGGGCACCTGAGGCCTCAAGGCCACAAGTTCCCCACCCCTGAATTCTAGTCCAACCTCTTTATTTTATCAATGAGGAAAGGGAGACCCAGAGATTAAGTGACCTGTCCAAGGTCATAGGATAGTAAGTGACAGAGGCAGAATCCACACTTAGATCCTATGACTACATAACCAGTGCTCTTCTCACTGTGTTAGGCTGCCCCCTGAAGTTATTGTGTTCTTTTTTATAAAATGAATGCCCCTCACAGGGATCTTGTAAGGAAAGGGATATGAATTAAGATTGGTATGCTGTGAAGTACCAGATTACAAGGTGGGAACTGTAGGAGCTCAGAGGAGGGAGCCTTGTGGACTTGAGGCACTCAGGGTAAGGTTCCTGGAGGGAGAGCCTTGAAGGATGGGAAGAATTCAAACAGGACAGGGGAGGAGGAAGTAGTCCTTCAAGGGTTTTGGGGGTAGAGTCCTTGATTAGGTGCTAAACTATGAGGTAACACTGAAGCCCCTTCCAAAATTTGTCCTTGAGTTCAACTTAATTTTGAGTTTAAATTTAATTGAGTTCAATTTGATTTGACAAAGATTTCTTAGGCACGTGTTAGATGCTAGGCACTGTGATGGGCACTGTGGATACAAAGACAAAAATCAAACAGTACCTGCCCTCAAGAAGCTTCCGTCTTAACCAGTGGTAAAATGACATATACACAAATAAGTAAATGCGTAGTGACTCCAAAATAAAGAGGACTACAGTAACTGACTTAATGTAAGTATAGACGGTGACACGGGAGTTCTGCTTTGAAAGAAGCCAGGGATGCTAAGAGGGGCAAGGGGAGGAGGGCATGCATTCCAGACACGGAATGTGCCAAGGGATGGGGATGAGAGATGAAATGCAACGTGGAGGTAACAGGGAGAAAATCAATTAGGCTGCAACAGTGTAACAGGAAGGAGAATCACGTGAAATATGTTTGGAGGAGTCAGCAGGAGCCAGGAAATGAAGGCCTTGAAATGCCAAACAGAGGAGTTTTGTAAGTTTATCCTATTCTTCACTTTTCTTTGTGTCATGGACTCACAGTCTGGTAAGCAGGGGGTGTGCTGGAGCCAACTGTTAAATTTTCATCGTAATAATCTACAACTTGGAAACGGTAAACTCTACAAATTAAGAGCTTCATTTATTGTTTTGTTGATTGTCTAGGCTAGATTTAAGAGACAGAAGATGTTAACAATTCAGATTAAATTTGTTTCTGGTATACATTTATTTTTCTCTTCAAAGAGCTGGTTGTTAAACGTTTACCAGCACACCCCTAAGTCTATGAGATTCTTTCTCCTAACGAGGTTTTTCAATAATTGGAGGAAATGCAGAGGTTAGTGAAAATCTGTCCTTGTTTTCCTCTCTGAGTTCACAGACCCCATGAAATCCAATCATGGACTGCTAGTTAAGAAGCTTAGTCCTGGAGGGTAATGATTAGAGAAAGTACATGCTAGTGAGACTCAATGAGATTTGTGTTTTAAGGATATCATATTGGCAACTGTGAGGGCAGGGAAGGATTACAGGGGGGAGAGACTAGAAAGCAGAGGCCATTGCAATGGACTTCATGTGATGCAAGGTGCTTTAAGAATATAGTATAAGAGGGGCAGCTAGGTGGCACAGTGGATAGAGCACCGGCCCTGGACTCAGGAGGCCCTGAGTTCAAATCCGGCCTCAGACCAAACACTTGATGCTTCCTAGCTATGTGACCCTGGGCAAGTCACTTAACCCCAACGGCCTAAAAATAAAATGAAAAAAAAGAATATAGTATAAGAGATGTTCTAGAGGTAAGTTGGTAATTCACCAATAGAAGTAATTGACAAGAGCTGGCCAGTGATAGCATATGAGAGTTTGGGGAAGGGTCTTTGGTATCACCTCACAGCTCAGTGTCTTCTCCTGGACTCTATCTCCCTTAAAAGACCTTCTCCCTCCAACCAGTTTCATTTGAATTTTATTCATCCTTCAAGAACTTGGGAGAGAAAGAACAACCCAAGCTCAGACTGTAAATCTCAAGGTGACTAGAGGTTGGTGGTACCAACAGAATTAGGGAAATTTGGAGAAGGAAGAGCTTTGAGGGGAAAAATGAGTTGTTTTGGTCAAACTGAATTTGAGGACCCTTATGGTACATCCAGCAGGCAGTTGACAATGAAGGGGGAACATGGTATAATGGACAGAATGATCGAGTTTGAAGCAGGGGGATCTGAGTTCAAGTCCCACCTAAGACACTTGGGCAAGTGTCTCATGTCTCCTAGCCTCAGCTTCTCCAGCTCTAATAGCATGAGGATAACCTGTAGCACTCTCCGAGGGTCACTGTGAGGTTCAGAAGGTGCTTTACAAACTTTAAAATACTTCATAAGTTGTCAGTTATGAAATTATTTAACTATATCTTTATTGATATCTTGTTTTTACATAGCCTAGGATTTTTAAAGTTATTTTTAATGTGAGACTAGTGTTTAGGAGGGAGAGATCAGGGCTCTGGCAGGTCTCTGCATCAGGACAAAAACTGAGAAGGGGGTCTAGCATGGAGGCTTGGCCCTAGGAGGGTTAAGTTTTGGTCTTGCCTTCTGCTCTGTTCTACCCCCACATACCCACAATCTTTCTCTCCCCTAGCTCCTCAGCTACAATCTCTCCCCACCCTCAAGTCCCTCCCCTGGCCCCAGTCCACTAGACCCTATAGGTGGTACAGGCCCAGGTGCCTCTTCCTGGAGTGAACAGTTGCCTTTCCCTTCTCTCTGCCTTGAAGGAGTCCAGAGTTAGTAACACCCCACCCTAGCCCACCTCACCCCCATATGCCCCCTCTCTAGAATTCAGGAAGAGTGATCACAGCCCAGAGAGGAGTTCCTTTATTGGAGGATAGCGGCCTTCAGGTAGGGTCAGTGGGTATGATGAAGCCACCTCTGCTAGCCTCAGAGCCAGAAGGAGTAGGCAGAAGGTATCTTCCAAAGCTTGACCTTCTCTCCCTCTGGATTTGGGGTCCATCCCCCCTTTCTCAGATGGAAGTAGGGCTGAGGGCACATGAGGTCACAAGGGCCTGGTACTACTGCCTCTGCCGCCCCCCCCCCACTCCATCTTGTCCTGGTGGTCAGATCCTATGACGGAGATCATGGGATGGAGAAAATATTCAATTGGGGGGAGGGGATAGAGGAGAAGAACAGCTTCCCTGGGCTCAGTAGGCCACCCTCCACCCTTACCCTGAGTCTGCTGGGAGGTAGGGATGGGGATGAAGAGTCTGGCAAAAGTTCAGCCCCAGAAGGCCCCACCCTGGGGTCCCAGCAGTCCCTAATTCCCTCAACAAAGAGATGGTGGCCCAGGAGAGCAAGGTGGTAGGTTATATAATACAGGCTCTGGGTACAGGGCTTCAGAAGCAGACCCTGCCCCAGGCCCCCAGTGCCAGGCAGCCCCTCAGGCCCGGCTTCATACCACAGCACACAGCACCACACACCAAGATCCATCCCTCCCCATTGAGGCCTAGGGGAGGGAATGGGGAGTACCAGGTAGGGGCTACAGGAGAGGGGGCTGGCCTCTCCTGTCTCCAGCCTTTCCCCAATTTTTGGAGGGGGTGGCTGGGAAAGATTGTCCCCCTCCCTCCCCAGGACAGGTGCTCAGTGCAGGGAGGTGGGGCCTTACTCCTCTTCAACTCCTAAAACAAAGCAAACTGCAAACATTGGTCCCTCTCTAGTAACCAGGGAAAGGGTCAGGTCCCCTAGGAGGGGCCAAGCAGGCCATTCCTTGGGCCAGGACCTACTGGTTCTCCTCTCTGGCAGCGTGAAGGAGACAAGGACACAGGTCCAGGGTTAGTCCCCTCTCCCTTGAAATCCCTTCCCCACAAGCCTTGGGAAGAGAAGGGGCAGAGATGTGAGAGTGGGGTAAGGGGCTTTCCCCAGGCCATCACTGTGCTATCCCCCTTCCCTGCCTTGGGAAAAGAGGGACTTCACAGCTGAGAGCGGAAAAATAACCTCACACCTATCCCTCCCCCCCCAACTTCAAGCTAGAAGCCCAAGGGGTCAGACAGATTTCTGGGGGCCATATAGGGCAAGGGGACAGAACAACCAGCATGGTGGGGGAGGCGGGGAAGAAAGGGCCCAGGGACTCCCCCCCACCTCCTTTCCCAGTGACCCAAGTGCCTTACAGTGCTTGATAGGTGTTATCCTTGACCCGGATAAAACGGACGAGGAAGAAGGTTACAGCCTGTAGACTCAGCACCAGCACGATGCCCCCAACAAAGCTAGCCCCATCAAAGCCAGGAGTATGGGAGTCCAGAGGTGGGACAGTGGCAGGGCTGCCTGGATGGGGCAGAGGAGGGAACCATCATGTCCGGGCCTCATCCTCATACCTCGCCCGGGGCCCCGTGCCCTGCAGGGAAGGGCATGGCCAGGGCACAAGAGGCCAGAGCTGACTGGGACCTCCCCTCAGAGCCCATTGGGTCTAGCCCCTTCATTTGAATCACAAAGAGACTGTTACTTGTTCAGAGTCAAACAGCTAGGATACAGTGGAGCTGGGATTCAAAGCCAGGTCTTCTTATTCCAGGACATCCAATGTTTTTTCTCCTTAATACACTTCAATTTTCCTACCTGTTCTCTCCTCTGTTTTCTTGCTTGGTTCTTCTAACACCTCCTCGTGGGAGGCAAGGCTGCTGTTAGCAGTTTTGCAGACACGGAAAGAGCACAGGGCAGGCTAACAGATCTGCCACTAGAATTCACCAGTTGAGTGGGCAAATCATACCTCTCTGGGCCTCAGTTTCCTCTTTTGTAAAATAAGGGAGTTGTAAAGTCACTCCTGTTCTAAGCATTCCATGTCTTAAGGACCCTTCCAGCTCACAGTGAGTTACTTTGTAAGAGCTCAGCTTAAGAGCCAAGCCTCGCAGCAGCCTTATAACATCACAGATAATGCCACGTTTATATATGACTTCATATTTTGTAAAGCCATTTCAGTTCAGGGAACACATTCTCCTGATCCACATTCCCATCACCCCCTGCAAGATGGGCAGAAGAATCTCCATTTGACAAGTGTGGACATCCTTAGGGATTCTGAGGCCTAGGGCAGAAGTTCTGGTCCCTCTTCTACGGATTGCTTCCTTTATGAAAGTCCTCCCCCTCCAAGAAGCAGTAATACCCTTGGGAGCAGAGGCGTTATGGGTTCTGTCTCTCCCTTAGGATAAGATTTCACCTCTTGGATTGAGGGTTTGGGGAAGGACAGGTCCTGACAAGGTAAGATCATCTTGGGACAAAGGGCAGGGCAGGTCCCTTTCTGAGCCCAGGGATAGGATGAGGAGGAAAGAAGAGATGCAAAGAGTAGACATGGGGAAGCCTTGAAGAGGGGAAGAGGAGGAAAGAAAAAAAAAACCAAGAAAACCAGATCTGAGAGTAGGGCTTGCTGGTGGCAGAGAGAGCTGGCCTGCCTATCAATAATTCATTCCTTGGGGAGATCTCATTACCCATTGTAATTAGCCAAGAGCTCTCACTGATCCCTTCCCCACACCCCAGTTACCAAAGGCTCAGCCTTGTGACTTCTTCAGATGCCCCCCAACCCCTATGGACCTCCTCACCCAAAGTAGGGGGGAAGGCTGGGGTTAGGGGCTTCCTCCTTTCCCAAGGCCCCTAGAACTGGACCTCCAGCAGCTCTGGCCTCCTTGGCACCTTGTCATTCTCTGGGGCCTTAGAGTCTGCTGCACCAGAGCTGGCCCTCCCACCTCCCATCCGCTGCCCCCCATGGTTCACCCCATACCTGATGTGAATGCCTTTGATTCCTGGGTGGGTGGTGGTGGAGCAGCTGGGGAGACAAAATCTATTATAATCCAGGGGAAAAAACTCTGAGATCTTCCCCACTAACAGCCTTCCTTGCCACCTTTGTTCTCCTTCAGCTAAGCCAGGTTCTGTCAATCAGCCTCCTTCCCCTGGGTACTGGACCCCCTTCTCCCTGCTTAGAGTTACCTGGGCACAGAGCTGTGTGGTTATAGATAGAGCAGCCTTCCTTGGCCTCTTCTTCCCGAGCTACACAGTGCCCATGTCCTGGAGGAGAGAAGGAAGGTAGGACAGGAAATCCCCCAAAGACTCAGCCTAGAAACAAGTCCCTAAGGATTTTCCCAGCCTTCAGGGCCCCAAGGGGTCCAGACCCAAATCTGAGATAAAGGAGATTCCTGGAGGTTTTGAGAACACGGAAGATTTCTAAGTCTATGGAATGACAAGGATAAGGAGTGACCTTAGAATGCAGACTGTCAACTAGATGAGATCTTGGAATGCGGAACATCAGGAGGGGGCTTAGAGAGGCCATCTGCTTCAGGCCTCTTCACTTAGGCCTTGTGAGTTTGTTTTAAAAATATTTTGATAACTATTTTAATATGATTTTCTTTTGTAATCCTATGTATTTTGTTTTATGCATTTAAAAACCACATTCTGGGAGGGTGTCTGTGGCACACTCCAGAAAGGCTGAGGACCCCTGATCTAATAGACCCACCTTATCATTTATAGATGGGAAAACAAAAACCCAGAGAGGGGAAAGGCCTTATACAAGATCAAACAGTGGCAGAGCCAGAATGATCCCCATTTCTCTGGGTTCCCAACCCAGCACATTATCCACTGTATCACCTGCCATTTAAGTTACTTATGACAGAAGACTCCTTAAAGTAATAATTGAGAAACTGTTGGGGACTGTGTAGGAGGGGGATGGGGGTGGGAGGGGGATGCTTCCAGATTTTCATTCTGACAGTTGGAGAAGTCACACACAGCTCCCTTCCCTTTTTCCAGGCCCTTACCTGGCTCCTCACCCCCACAGTGTTCCCACACACAGCCTGAGAGGTTTCGAGCAGGTTCCCCTTCCACGCATCGCTTGCAGGATTCCAGCTGTTTGCATTCGGCAACAGCAGCAGTGCCCCAGATGTTAAGGCCGAGCAGGGCCCCCCTGCCCAAGCCTCTGCCTCCTTTACCTGGGGGGGGGGAGGAAGAAGGACTGAGGCTGAGTAGTCAGGGAGGGGCTTCCCCAGCCCTAGCAGACCCTCCTCTCTCCCCAACCACCTCCAAACACACACCTGGGGTCTGCTATCTGTTGCCAAAAGGAGTAGGGGCCAGCTGTTTCCTACTCCCCACACCCACAGCTGGTTCTTCCTGACTCATACTTCAGTCAGAGCTGTGGAACTGCTGGGAGATCACAGCTGGGGCCACACCAGGCAGGTTCTCAGGGTTTAGGACCAGGTCGGCCTGGGGCAGCTACAGGCTCAGGCCCCAGCTGGAAGGCGGGGACCAGGACTTTGCGGTTGTCTATGAGGATGAGGGAAATTGGGAGGAGTTGCACACTTGGCTTGAGCAGCTGAGAGATGGGGGGAGGGTTGAAAGCAATCAAGTCTCTGAGGGGCCAGACTACCTCATCCTGGCAAGAGGACGTCTGCCTGAAGAGGTTCATGCACCTGATAAGGGGTGATGCGAGAGCATACCTGGCTGGGAAGGAGGGCCCGCCCACACCTGGCTGTCCCCACCTATCCCCCACCACTCACCGGCTGCTGCAAGCTGGGCACAGAGCAGGAGGCAGCAGCCGCTGCAGAGCGCAGCCCGAAGGGCTCGAGGCCCCAACACGACCATGGACTCAGGGGGAGGAGGCTGCTCCTGACGCTGGGCACGGGAGGGCTGGCGGAGCGTCCCCGCTTAACACTGGGCAGCTGGGGAATAAGCCGGCACCAGGAGAGGCCCAGGATACCTGGGCAACCTGGGGCGGGGCCCGGCGAAGGAGGAGGCGTGGTCAGGGTGCGGTGGCGGGGCCAGGTGAGAGTGGGCGAGGTCCGGGACTAAGCTGGTGAGGTGTAGGGGGGCTTAACGCGAAGAGAGTGGAGGGCAAAGGGAGGGCACCCCCCACGCACACACACACACACACACACACACACACACACACACACACACACACACACACACACACACACACGCTTTGAAAAGAACGAACTTAGAGGATGGGGCGGGGTCTGGCAGGAACATAGGGCGTGGCCAAGAGCGTAAGGCGGGGTCAAGAGCTGGGATTCGGGGCAGGTGAAGGTGGGGCCAGAAGTATGGGGAGGAGCCAGATGAAGGCTCCCCGGGCCAGGAACACGAGAGGGGCCAGATGGGAACCAGGCACGTGGACCCCAGAATTCGAGGTGACCTCAGCAACCAGACGTACCTAGGAGGCACCAAAATGTAGACGTGGTTTGGAAGGAGGGGCTTAAGAAGGTGAGTAGGGGCTGACTTTAGAGTAGGAGATTTGGGGGTTGGGCCATGGGGGAGGGACATTGAATCAGAATGGGGAGAAGGAGATCCAAGTTCCGGTTCTTCCATCCTGAGGACAGTTTTCCTCTTAAGGACCTGCTCCACGCTACGTGGGTTTTTCAATCAATCAACTAAACATTTATTAAGTGCCTGCCTTGTGTGAAGCACTTTGCTAACCAATGGGGAATACCAAGAAAGGCAAAAACATGGGCCCTGTCTTTTAGGAGCTCACATTTTTATAGGGAAGATGGTCAATCCCTTTATTTTGCAGAGAGGAAATCTGAGGCCCAGAGAGAGTGAAGGAACTTCAGGTAATCAACAAGCATCTATTAAGTGCCTACTTTGTGCCAAAAATGTGCTAGATGCTAGGAATAAAAGCAAAAGTGAGACTGATCCTGATCTCAAGAAGATCACTCCTAAGATGGCAGAGTGAAAGCAGTGACTTGCTTGAGCTCTCCCTCAAACCCCTCCAAATACTCATAAAAAAATGGCTCTAAACAAATTCTGAAGCAGCAGAACCCACAAAAAGACAGAGTGAAACAAATTTCCAGCCCAAGACAACCTGGATGGTTGATCAGAAAGGTATATCCCATCTGGCTGGGAGCACAGCGCAGCGCGTCATGGGCGCGCAGGCCTCAGCGAACCTGGAGCAGTCCTCAGAGGACTGAATCTTGGGCAGCTGTGGAGGTTCCCAGACTCCTCAATCCATGAATGCCAAAGACAACTTAGAAGGTCAGTGGGAAAAGTCTGTTTCTGTGGTACTAGACAGGAAGGTGGGGTCTCAGCTCCATTCCCCAAGAGCTGCTTCCCAGCTTCTGGCCCATAGACTGAGGGGGAATCCAGTGGCTGATCAGAGAGGGATTGCAGGATCTCTTTGCCAGTGCTGAGACAGGAATCTCTTGCTTTGCCCGTATTTGGATCTGGGTCACAGTTCTGAGCGGCAGTGCTGGGGTGAGGAGGAGCACTGGCGTGGAGGAGCTTGTAGTGGCTGTAGAGAGGAACCCCTCCTCACAGTTACAGGACAGAAAGGAATACTTGTGGTCACAAGCCAGGAAAGGAGTAAACACCTCGCCCCTTATCATACCACCTTGGAAGAACTGAAAATTTACAGGGCCCTACAAGTATCTCTGAAAACAGCTGTACAAACCCCTGAAGCTTGGGACAGTACATTCTCCACATTGGAAGCAGATTTGTACCTTAACAAAGAGTTTAAAACTCAAGTAATTGGCCGGGATCATGAGCAAGCAGCGCAAAAAGAGTCAGACTACATTATCTTACTTTGGTGAAAAAGAAGATCAAAACATACAACCAGAAGACAACAAAGTCAAAGCTCCTACATCCAAAGCCTCCAAGAAAAATAGGAATCAGTCCCAGGCCTTGGAAGAGCTCAAAAGGGATTTTGAGAAGCAAGTAAGGGAAGTAGAGGAAAAACTGGGAAGAGAAATGAGAGTGATGCAAGAAAATCATGAAAAACAAGTCAACAGCTTGCTAAAGGAGACCCCAAAAAATACTGAAGAAAATAACACCTTAAAAAACAGCCTAACCCAAATGGCAAAAGAGGTCCAAAAAGCCAATGAGGAGAAAAATGCCCTAAAAAGAAAAATTGGCCAAATGGAAAAGGAAGTCCAAAAGATTACTGAAGAAAATACTTCCTTAAAAATTAGGATAGAGCAATTGGAAGCTAGTGACTTTATGAGAAATCAAGACACTGTAAAACAAATCCAAAAGAATGAAAAATTAGAAAACAATGTGAAATATCTCATTGGAAAAACAACTGACCTGGAAAATAGATCCAGAGAGAGAATTTAAAAATTATTGGACTATCTGAAAGCCATGATCAAAAAAAGAGCCTAGACATCATCTTTCAAGAAATTATCAAGGAAAACTGCCCTGATATATTAGAACCAGAGGGCAAAAAGAAATTGAAAGAATCCACAGATCTCCTCCTGAAAGAGATCCCCAAAGGAAAACTCCTAGGAATATTATAGCCAAATTCCAGAGTTCCCAGGTCAAGGAGAAAATATTACAAGCTGCCAGAAGGAAACAATTCAAGTACTGTGGAAACACAATCAGGATAACACAAGATTTAGCAGCTTCTACATTAAAGGACCGCAGGGCATGGAATATAATATTCCAGAGGGCAAAGGAGATGGGATTACAACCAAGAATCACCTACCCAGCAAAACTGAGTATAATCCTTCAGGGGAAAAAATGGTCATTCAGTGAAATAGAGGACTTTCAAGCATTCTTGATGAAAAGACCAGAGCTGAATAGAAAATTTGACTTTCAAATACAGGACTCAAGTGGAACATGAAGAGGTAAACAGGAAAGAGAAATCATAAGAGACTTATTAAGATTGAACTGTTTACATTCCTGCATGGAAAGATGATATTTATAACTCATGAGACCTTTGTCAGTATTAGGGTAGTTGGAGGAAAAAATATATGTATGTATGTATGTATAGATAGATAGATAGATAGATAGATAGATAATAGATAGATAGATAGATAGATAGATAGAGGGCACAGGGTGAGTTGAAGATTAAGGGGTCATATCTGGAGAATAAAATTAAGGGATGAGAGAGGATTATACTGGAGAAGAAGAAAGGGAGAGGTAGAATGAGGTAAATTATCTCACAAAAAAAAAGAAAAGTCTCTTACAGTGGAGGGGAAATGGAGGAAGGTGAGAGGGAATGATTGAATCTTATTCTCAAAGGATTTAGCTTAAGGAGAGAATAACATACACATTCAATTGGTATGGAAATCTGTCTTACCCTACAGGAAAATAGGGAGAAGGGAACAAGAGAGCAGGGGGATGATAGAGAGGAGGGCAGATTGGGAAAGGGGGTAATCAGAAGTAAATACTTCTGAGGAGGGACAGGGTCAAAAGAAAGAATAGAATAAATGGGAGGGCAGGATAGGATTAAGGGAAATAGAGTTAGTTTTTCACAACATGTCTACTATGGAAGTGTTTTGCATAACTGCACATGTACAAATGGAAAAGTTGCTTGCCTTTTCACTGAGGGTGGGTGGGGAGGGAGGAAGAGAGAAAATTTGAAACCTAAAGTTTTAAAAACATATGTTTAAAAAAATGTTTTCACATGCTACTGGGAAATAAGAAACACAGGAAGTGGGGTACAGAAGTCTATCTTGCCCTACAGGAAAATAGAAGGGGAAGGGAATAAGAGAAGGGGGGCAGAGATAGAAGAGAGGGCAGATTAGGGAAAGGGATATTCAGAATGCATGCCATCTTGGGGTGGGGGAGGGGTGAGATGGGGTGAAAATTTGGAACTCAAAAACTTGTGCAAGTGAATGTTGAAAACTAAAAATAAATAGATTTATATTAAATAAATAAATAAATAAAATAAAATGGAATGGGGGGAAATTTTTAAAAAATTTTTAAAAATGAAGAACAAATAATGTCAAAAATAATAAAATGAAATAAAAATAAAATGAACTGGAGAAGGGAAAAAAAAGATCACTCCTACTCAATCTGGGGCAAGTTAGTCGCAGAGCACAGACTTGAACCCAGGTAACCTGACGCCCAATTCAATTCACAAACAGTAAGTGCTTCCTACAAATAACTAGGGAGGAAGTGTGTTTTGGTGGAGACAATCATAGTGATAGAAGGTCCACCTCTGACGAGGTAGATACCTGGACTGTAAGTCTTTCCTCTGAAATACAAGCAACTTAGACTATAAAATTACAAAGGAGTTAGCCATCTTCATTGTAAGAGGGAGATTTGTTCACATCATCCTCTCGATGCCCTGATGAAAGCACAGGTCTGGTTAAAATGATGTTCAAGGCCTAGTGCTCTGGGGATCTATACAAAGACAGAAGTGAGAGAGTCCCTGTCCTCAAAGAATTTAAAGTCTACTGGGCTATGTTGGGAAAGCATGTACACAGATGAGGAAATACAAGCTCAATAGAATAGATTGTATGGATTCCATGCGAAGTCATTTCCATGTGAGACAACAATTAGAGTAATTAGGAAAAACTTCCTGTGGGCGATGGTACTTGAGCTGATCCCTGGAGAGCTCTTGGGGGTCCTGAGAAGCAGAGATGAGGAGGGGGACATGCTGTGTATGGGGGAGGAGGAGGGACCAACGTGGGCACACAGATCCAAGATGGAATGGCACATAATAAGGACCAACAAGTAAGCCAGTGTGTGTGTGTGTGTGTGTGTACACTTGCATGTATAATCTGCTTGGAAAGACAGACTGGGACCAGACTGTGAAGGTTTAAAATGTCAAAGAGATTAGTTTATGTTTTATCTTAAGGATAATAGTGAGCCACTGATGCTTCTCAAGAAGGGGAGTCATATGGTCAGAACTGTGTTTTCTGAGTTTGTATTTGGCAGCTATGTTTCTGGGGGACAGATTAAGTGGGGAGAGTGGAGCCAGGAAGAACAATTAGACAATTGGAATGGTCCAGTGGAAAGGTGATGAGGGCCTAAACTCAGGTGATGGTTATGTGAGTAGACAGAAGGAGAGGGAAGAAGGAATGTATCAGGATCTCTTAATTTGGAAGGCTTATTTAATTCTTTTGGGGGGGCAACTGGGGTTAAGTGACTTGCCCAGGGTCACACAGCTAGTAAGTATCAAGTATTTGGTCTGAGGCCAGATTTGAACTCAGGTCCTCCTGACTTCAGGGCTGGTGCTGTATCCGCTGT